ATAAAACCCACACATATATGGTCAGTTGATCTTTGATAAAGGTGTCACCATAGTTCTGTGAGGGAAAGGACAGTCATTTCAACAGACGTACAGTTGGACATCTATATGGGAAAAATTCCATCCTTATCTTAAACTATATCTAAAAATTAACTCAAAATGGATTATATTCCTAAACCTAAGAGCTGAAACTATAAAACTTATAGAAGAAAACTTAGAAAATTTTGGTGACCTTTATTTAGAAAAGATGTCTTAAAGAGACTATAAAAAGGAGGAAACATAAAAGAAAAACCTGATAAACTAACCTTTATCCAAATAAAAAACTTGTGCTCTTTAAAAGTTACTAAGAAAAAGAAATTGAGAGCTGCAGATGAGAAATCTTTTGCAAGATATGTATCTGATAAATGACTGAATTGTATCCAGAATATGTTAAAAATAACTCAAGTAATTCAGTAATAAGTAATAAGCTCAGTTTTAAAATGGGTAAAAGATTTGAAGAGTTTACCAGAGAAGATACACAGATGGACAAAAAGTGCATGAAAAGATGAGCAAAATCATGAGTCATTAAAGAAAAGCAAATTTTAGAAAAAATTTCTTCATGTCTACTGGAACAGCTAAAATTTCAAAATTAGACACCTGACCACATCATGTGTTGATGAAGATACGAAGCAACTAGAGCTGTCAGGTTGCTGTGGGAAATCAAAATAACCCAACTGTTTTGGAAAACAATTTAGCAATTTCTAATAAAGTTAAACATACTTACTCTGTGACCTATTCTACATATTTTTACCCAGTTCCACTCCTAGGAAGTGACCCAAGAGATGAAACTTTAGTCCATATAAAAATCTGTAGGTAAATATTTATACCAGCTTTATTCATAACAGTAAAAAATTGGAAACAACCCAAATGTCCATCACCTGATGAATGGTTCGACAAATTGTGGGATATCCATAAAATTGATTCTATCCAGTAATAAAAGGATCAAACTAAGTATTTGCTTTGTGACAGTGGTTGCCAGGGGCTGGAGGTAGAAGGAGATGATTGATTGTACAGGGGCACAGGGGGATTTTTGTGGTGATGGAAATGACTTTTATCTTGACTGTGGGTGTTATATGACTGTATACATTTGTCCAAAATCATGGAACTGTGTGCTTAAAAAGGGTGATTATACTTCATAAATTTGCCACATAGGAGAGGATTCTCAACCTTCCTCCTCATTAAAAAAAGGCAAATTAAAAACAGGACTTTTTTTCAACTCTCAGATTGGCTAAGATCAAAGTTTTGAAAATTGTCAAGGATTTGGGGAAAGAGTCACTCTCAAATGTAATGGTACAACCTCTGAGGGGTAGTTGAGGAATATCTTTCAGAATTAAAAATGCGTGTACTTTTCGAACTGGGAATTTTACTTTGAGGGATTTTTTTCTATAGGTAAGACATGTACAAGGAAACAGTAGTTTGTACCATTGTTTATCAGAGCAAAACTCAGGGAATAACCTAATTTCCACTAATGGGGACATTATGGTACAGTGAAGTACTACTGTGAGGTAGATAAATATGTTTGCTCATGTGGAACACTTTCTCAAGATACTGTTAAATGAAAATAGCAGTGCACAAAATGACATGTATAGTGTACTTGTGTTTATGTTTTTCAAAAGCTGTATGTATTTATATGCTTGTGTTTGCATACGCTGTTAAAGATAGCATACACATACACAGAACTGTTATTAATAGTTGCCTCTAGCACAGGAAAGGTTTACCTTTTAATGTTTACTTGTTTTGTTTTAATATTTTTTTTGCCATGTGCACGTATTATTTTCTCAGTTAAAGAGAAGAAATTAATTTGCATACAATTATAATATATTCTTAGGAAATTTAGGAGTACGTAGGTGGCTGGTCCTGACCATTCCCTCTAGAATGTCTGTCATGTTTTCATCAGCAACACAGTTCTGGACTAGATGGATCTTGCTGATCCATCTGATCATTGTGATATTTCTGAGACTATTCCCCCTTGTAACCACTGCTTCCAGTCTGTCTCCTATTTTTCCAAACTCATGTGGGAGTAGATTCATGAAGAAATATATTCATTTCACTTTACCCACAGGCTGCCTTTCTGTACGTTGGCTTGATCCTCTAGCTTAGGTCCGTTTTACAGTGCAATGCAATGGTCAGGTGACTTGGTGGGGAGAAATGTACTGCGTTCAGAGGATAATTGTAATTATGTCTTTGCATCATATTTGGGTGCCACCAGGAAGCTTCTCTAAGTGAGGGGGAGCATCGGTAAGGGAGGTATGGAAATCGGCAGCACTTTCTGAAAATTAGGTGGTTTGGGAGGCTGTATTCAATTTAGTTTGGATATTAAACGAATTAAAATGGGCGTGCTCAAGTTCTGAGCCTTGCCTCATCAGTGCTATAAAAAGCCCTTTAGCAGGGCTGTAATCTGACTCTCCTCTCGGTAATGTTACACAATATTCCTATGGTTACAGAGCCCGAATAAATGGAAGCTAATCATTAGTTTGCTAAATGTGGTCCGTGGAACAGTTCATAACTCCCAGACCTGCCAACTGCTTGTTTAGTGTCGTGCTCACTCTTTCTTGGGTAGAAGTTGGTTTGTTCCTCAGAAAAATGTACAGTAACAGTTGTCTCGCATCCAGGAACCATGCACTATGGCAGCTCTCCATGTGTCTCGGGTTGGAGAGGGGAAAAAGGCATGCTAAGCAAAGTTTTTTGGTACATACTTTTCCGTAGGAAGAAACCATTAAGGGAGTGAGAGATGACAAAACAAGAAAAGAATTAAAGCAGCAGAGGTTTTGGTCATTTGGAGAATCACTGTGCGGTTGACTTTTCAGAAATTTGCTGTGATGGAACTCTATTCTGTGACCCTAGACATAAAATCACTCTCTTCAGGTTGTTCACTGTTTGTTTCATGTGACAAGACAGATTTCATTCATGCCCAGCGTCACCTGCAAACACATACACGTGCTGCCTTTAGGAACCAAACATTTTGTGAGCTGGGGCCTTTTCTGGCTCATCTAGTATGTATCAGGCAGGGGGATGCCTGAGTGGCGCAGTGGTTAAGCATCCGACTCTTGGTTTCAGCTCAGGTTGTGAGATCAAGCCCCATGTAGGCTCCATGCTCAGCACAGAGTCTGCTTAAGTTTCTTTCTCCCTTTGCCCCTCCCCTAAAATAAATAAATAAATCTTTAAAAAAAAATTAAATGTATCGGGGAACATGCTGAGAGCAGTAGGTATCAACTGCATTTGTGCCCTTACCTGGGGATTAGAGCCTAAATCCTTAATCCACTCATGATTATTTGGACTCTTCCTGCTTGAATGAAAGTGGGTTCTTTCCTAATAAATAGAAAATATATTGTGCCCACTTGTGACTCGTTCTTCCTTTCCAGCTGAAAAGGTGTTGACTCTGTAGGAGGAACCTCTTTTTTTCTTTGAGACTGTCCAGAAAGAGTCCGGTGGCTGTTTCTGTTTACCTGCTGTATCATATAGTTCTCTTTGGATTGTAAAAAACAGAAAACCTGACCTCACCTTGCTTGAGGACAAAGGGAATTTATTGGCTGACGTGATTAAAAAGGAAGGGCGAGATACGAGGGCTCAACCCATATCATCAAGCTCTCTCTGCTTCTCTCATCTCTGTGTTTGTCTGTCAGACTTCACTCTTGGGCTCTAGGTGGTGACACCTAGGACTGTTGGATAACCTTCCAGGTACAAACCCAAAAGGAAATAGCAGAGAGCCTTTCCCCTGTCTCCTAGAAAGGTCCTGAAGTTCCCTCTGATCCAACTGGCTTAGGTCTTGGATTCTCTCTGAACCAGCCATGGAGTCAGAGAGATGCTGTGCTTTGATTTGTCTGTCTGACTCTCATTTCCCAACCCTAGAAGCATGGAGCCTGCCTCCAAGCATGTGCTGTAGGAATGGGAGAAGGGGGCAGCCCTACTGAACATGAGGTGCTGTAACAGAAAGAAATGGGAGTAAGAGCTGGGAGGCAAATCACTAGTCTTGCGTGTGAGAAAGCTGGATTCTGTCTTCACTGTGCTGAAAGATTTCACTTCTGACCACCTCGTCATTGGTGAGATGGGACTGTGTGCTGCCCAGGAAGACTAACTCTAAGAGTGATCTCTTCCTTTATAATACATGTGTGTTTAAAATGCACACATTTGTTGACAAGTCCACACAAGAGGGGACAAAAGAAGGAATGATAAGGAGCCAGCGTAATTATGGCGGTCCCCATTGCACTTCTTGGCTTAAGGCAGTTTTTCAAAGTACATATAAAAGTAATGGAATCAAGTCATAGTTCAGAAAATATAGAAACAACAGTTCTCCCCCTCTAACACAACCACTATTTTAATTTTAGAGTATTTCCTTTCAGCCTTTGTTCATACAAGTTTCTCACAAACTTTCAAATCTTGGTTTGTTTGGGTGTTTTTGCTTGACATTGCATGATAATCCAGGCATTTTCAATATTGTTACATAGTCGGCATTATCATGTAAATGCAATACAATTTTCTATCAGGGAGCCATGCCAAAATTAATCATTCTTCCATCATTGGACATTTAGGTTATCTCCTTTTAAATTTTTTCTGCTGTTACAAAGAATTAGCCTGTATTAAACGTTCCTGGGGTATGTAACTTTGGTCTTGCTTTATTTTATTTTCTGAGGCTAGATTGTGAGAAGTGGGATTACTGCTTCAAAGGGTATAAACATTTTTATGTCTCTTGATACATATTGCCAAATTGCTTTTCAAAACTGTTGCATTTTATCTATTCTGCCTCCAGCAGTTTAGGAGAGGATCAGTTTCACTGCATTTTTGCCAGCAATAGATATTTTGATTTTTAACCATATTATTAACTGAACCAGCAAAAAAATGGGTGTTGTTTTTGTTTTAATTTGGATTTCTTTGGTTAATAGAGAGGCTGAATGCTTTTATGTACTGTGCTTTTTTTTAGCTATATTTTCTGCTCCTGTTTACACATTGCCTTTTCTTCTTTTTAGACCCCAAAACAGCTTCTGAAACAGAGACCGATATCTGTGATGAATGGGAGATAAAGACGATCACTAGTGCTTTGAAGACCTACCTAAGGTAGGGACTTTCCATTTGCAGGGCAGGGTGCCAGCTTGTTACCATGCAATCAGGAAGAAAGCAGTTTTTTTCCAGCCTCCAAAGAGCTGTTGGGTGGGTGTTTGGATATGGAAACAGCTTATGTGTGGGTGCAATTAGCTCAGCTGGTCAAACCAATTGTAAGTCATCCATCCTTGATGGGTTGCCATTTGCAGGGATGCCATGAGTGATTCAAGAAGCTTTGTTCTTTATGAGAAGTTACTATGATAATTAGCCTTACAGAACCTAAAATACAGTATTTCCTTAAATCCCCAAATACTCTAGTAAGAAAACAAGGAACTACATATCTCATTCTGTTGAAAATGCATGATTACATACATATCCTATGTATTTTGATGATTTTGTGCATTGCACTCATAGACTATATTGCCGATATTGGTCCTTTAAATATGAGAATTTATTGGATGTCCTTTTTGACTCCTTCTGCTTATATAGGAAAATGTTATTTTATTGGAGAAGAGACTCCTTCTCTTGTAACAATGTACATGATATGACTCCTATTTTCTGCCCCTCCCTTGGTTATTAGGGAATGGGTGATTCTAGCTGCCTCCATATCAGTTTCATGAAGTGACTGAAACTTATCCTGAACTTGAAGGGTAGGTGAGGGTCCAGTCTCAAACCAGGAGGAAAGCTATACTCATGAATTGCATAAGCATTTGTTCAGGTTTTGTGAAGATTCACTTGGCTCAAAAACAAAGGAGGAAGAAAGCCCCAGAAAAAGAATTGGTAATGCAGGTTTTATTGGCTATTGGGGAATTGATAGAAAGATCTTGAAGAGTAAGATGTAATGCAAGTGATGATCAAGAGTTAAATTAGGGGTTCTGATGAGAATAAAATAAAACCTGAGCCAAGAATAATTTATAGTCTGTTGCGAAGGTTATTATTTGGACTGTCAGAAAAAAGTTGAAGTTTATAGTTAAACACATTCATTAAACATATTGATTAAACATTCATAGCACATATACTATCACTGTAGTTTACACAAAACCATACCACAGAGGTTTGTATTTAGCACTTAATTTGTGCATGTTGATATTGATTAGCTAACAAACATTAAGTATAAAACATATTTTTTAAAAACTAGATAAAATTTGATTATATCGTGCTTAATGTTAGGGATTCTAGCCCTAACATTGGGCTAGAACTGGAGCAACACTCGCTAGTGAATTTGCCACAAAAACACAGAAGTCTCCCATAGTGTTTCCAGATGAACTGATTCTGATAACAAGCTGCTGGGAAGACAGGAGTTTAAAGCACAGGTAATTACAAATGTTTAGTTAGTTGCCTTTTTCTCAGACACATCTTAAAATGCTCATGTCAATGGGTGAGTCACTGACTGAAAAGGAAATCTCTTGGTTTGTGCTAGACTTTCACATTAGCACTTTCCTAGTTGTAACTAGGAAACGTAGTTGTATCCATTCCCTTAAGGAAGAAAGAGCATGAAAATGTCACGGGAAATCTCAGGACCCTTTCAAACGGGAAACTCAATTGGACTAAGTTGAGTTGCTATTGTGTCCCTTGATCTTAGTCTGTATATAGTTGGGCAGCGTCTATGCTGTTATTTAGAGTCTGTTTGTTTTTATTAAGCTGACTGGTTTATATCCTTTTATCCCAGAATGCTTCCAGGACCACTCATGATGTACCAGTTTCAAAGAAGTTTCATCAAAGCAGCAAGTAGGTGGTGGTGTTTTTGTTTTTGTTTTTTTTTTGCCAGAGTTTTAAGGGGGAAAGGAATACATTTTTCTATTTCAAACAACAGTCAGTATCCCAAAATAAATACTTTCTACCCTTTGTATTTTGCATGTAAATACCTACACACGTGCTCACGAAATGGACACAAAATAGAAACGAAACCAAACTGGGATTGTCAAAGGCCCTGCTGCCATATTGAATTTACAGTAGAGGAGAAAAACTTCAGAAGTGTGTTTTTGGGGTGGGGGGAGGAAAGAAAAGCAAGTTTGGCTTTCTAATTTTGATTATTGGAGTTCTAACTCCTTGGGTTTTTTCCCAGCCCTGGAGTAGCATTTTGCAGAATGAATCAGACTTTGCACATTACCTAAATTGAGCATTGGAAGTGTTTCCTTGAATGTGACACCATTTATATAACTTCCTAGTCCTCTTTCCATCATGGCTTCCATTTACAGCTTACGATCATTCTTCAGCTATATCATCCAGGTCCTTTGCATCATATTACTGGTATTAAAATACATAGGGATTAGGTGCAAGCTACCCTAAGTATACTGGAATCTGTCTACGTGGGGTAGGCCTCCTGTAAGGGGCAGTAAGATTCTCTATCAGATTTAAATCTGGCATGAATCTCCACAGTGCTATTATGTCAATAGTCTCTGTGCCTCTCCCTGCTTCCTTTAAGCCTTCAAACTTTGTTTGTCCTGGTAGCTACTACTGGCCCAATTTAGTAGTACCTAATGTTCTGGTGGCCTTACCTTCCCAGAGTTGTCTCCTTAAAAGAGGAAGGAGAAAGACTTGAGAGAAAGCTGGGAGTGAAGATCGTGTTTATGTGATTTCTTTCTCAGAGAAATTCCAAACCCATAGCAACCATTCTCTAATTAAACCTCACATCAGTCCTAAAAATAGGTGTGGTGAGCACTCTCAGTCTATCTCCCAGGAAAGTGAAGCCACTTACCCAAATTCAACCAAGCCATGGCAGGGTTTGATTGAGGTGGCAGGTGGGCGGAAAGATTTACATATTTTATCAGCTATTTCTTTCTCCCACCAGGCTGGTTGGGTGTCACACATAATTTGAGAATGACTGGACATTGCCTTTGATTTGTTGGATGCTGTCTTGAGACGTTGTTTTGATATTTGAGACCCTTGTAATGTTGTTCATGTACAATTTGTTTATCATTTGACCAGTGCGCATAAAGTTCCTTCCTTCCTTGAAATGAAACCGTTGTTCTAGGAAGCCGGCTGCTCCCAAGTTTCTGTCTGCTCTGAGTGTGCAGTTGACTGGCTCCATTTCTTCCCGTCATCATTTTGGCTTGAATTTTTTGACAGTCATTTTTTTTAATGAACTGTTACAGAAAGTACCATTTAAAACACTTCTAGATCTAGCCATGAGTCCATAGAACAGGCTCTTAAACCTTTGAGAAATCCTCTGTTAGTGCCCAACCTTTGGTTTCCTTTGATTTTGTTTTGTAATCTGATTTGGCTGTGACACGGATCAAATATTACCTTCTTCCTTCCTTTGCAGAGTTGGAAAACCAGGAGTCTCGGGTCTCTGAAATCCACAGCCTTGTTCATCGGCTCCCAGAGAAAAATAGGCAGATGTTACAGCTGCTCATGAACCACTTGGCAAAGTAGGTTTAAGGCTGAATGCTACCTTCTTCTCACTCCTGGAAAGTTCATGTCTCAGCATTAGAGCTGGTCTCGGTTCTGCTCAGGTTTCCTTCTCCCACTATTGCATCAGGAGTGCTGGAGGCTTAGGAAAGAAATGTGTGAAATGTTAACTGCAGTGGGTAACAGCAGTAAATGCCACATGGTCCTTACAGAGGAGGCTGGGGAAGCGCCCAAGATACCAGGCCACCAGGCAGAGATTTCAGGGGGCTTTTGCTCTTGTGATGACCAAGGGCAAACAGGAATATGTCCTCCTTGATAACCAGGTCACTAAGCCCAGTTTTCAGGAGTTGTGTGTTCTTTTGATGATTAGAGACAAATAGGAATATGTTGTGGGTTTACAGACCTGGGATTTGTAGTAAAGAGGCCTGGGTTCTAGAGTTGACTGTGTTCTTAACAAGCCACTCAGTGAGCCCTGGACAAGCCATGGACCTTAATTTCTTCATCAGTCAGATTTGGATAGTAGGGGCCCCTTTATTTATCTACAGTGTCAATGCTTTTAAAAGTTACCTGTGTTAAAGCCTAGGGAATAAAGAAACTATCTTTGACAAATGCCTGCTTGCCCTCTGAGATAAGCAAGGCATTCAGCATGGGGCCTGATTGTCCTGCAAAGAATATTTACTCTTGGAATGGTTTTGAATTTTTGTTTATTTACTATTGCTGGACCGTTTTGGGTATGGCCTTCCTGACTTCCCTTGCTGTGTCAGTGACTACATATATGTACCTTCTAACCTTCCATTGACTTGGATGAATGTTCTTGATTGGAAACTGGAGTATAAAAAAAGGACAGAATGTAACAGTTGACTTAAACCGTTAAGCCGTACGCTCTATGGAACTGATTGATGTGTTATGCATTTGGTCCTTACCCACACTTTGCTCATGCCATTAAGTCATTTCTTTGGGATAAGTTGATAGTCAGCTGAGGAAGGTTATGATGGTTTGTTTTCATATTTCTACCAAGCATGTTGATACTGCCTTGTGGAGAGAGAGTATATGTGTTACCATAAAAATTTCCACAGATCTTAATTATGAAGAAGCAAGAGTGTTTAGCATGTTGGTCAGAAGCAATTAGGCAGAGTCAAGGATTGCTCTGTTATTGGTCAAATGTCTTTCTTGCCGTGCGGTATTGGGACTGCATGTTCAGAAACAATTAAGCATAGCAGAGAACATGCAAGCTTACAAGGGGAATGCCCAAAAAATGTCAAAGAATCCTGATGAAGTGTGTTTAAAATAATGAGAACTGGGTTAAAAAAGTGACTCCAGATGCTCTGAGATGACAGTTTGGTGCCTATTCCACACAACTCAGTCCGGCATTTGTTCAATAGAAAAGCTGGTTTAGATCTTAGTTACAAAACTTTGCACATTTGAAGGGCCTTTACTGAAACAGAGGAAGTTCTGGGTACGTACTCCGGCCAAGTGTGTGTGGAGATGCTCGATGGCTGCTCTGTTATGGCCACTAGGCTTTGAGCCTCCTGGGAGCAGCTGGAGGAGAAGGCTTCGGAACTAGCTGAGAGCAGTGGGCTTTCCAAGTTGTGGAATTGTGATGAGAGCTTAACTGGACTGAGTATGACCAAGAGTAAACGGTGATCCAGCAGACTCACTACTGCATCTGCCCATTTGTAAAGTGCCCTGAGATTGTTAGGAATCTTAAAAGGGGGGAGAAAAAGATTTTAAAAAACATCGAAAACTGTTAAGGTAGATCTTAAACACTTGAGCCTGTTTATCTCTTGGGGGATGGTTCATTTTCTCCCTCTTGTCCACCTGTGTTCCAAACCCCATTAAATTCAGTTCATCTTTGTCCCTAACCTAACGAAGAGTACAACTGGAATATGCAAGTGACAGCTGTGACCTTGACTTTTTGCCTTCTAACAAATTTAAATCAACTTTGTTGCTGAGTTACTTATGGTATACTTATAGTATAGCATTTATGGAGCATTATGTCTTGTCTTTGATTCACAGTCACAATAATTTTCTTTGATTCTATGAGGTTATGTGGCATTTCTTTGTTCATTTAATCCTTAAGGAATCTACATAGAGACCATAGTGTGACTTGGTCAGAGCCGATGTTATAACACACACACTTAAATTCTCAGTAGGCTGTGTTCTTGGTCTCAGAAGATCGGAATTAAAAGTGTCTTGGAGGAGATGGGTATAAATGAGCATTGCTCATTCCAGTAAGGAGTATTTATTTAGTTCTGAAAAAATGCTTTGGCACCCAGAGGAGTTCTAAGGTTCCATTTAAATGCTATATTCTCATTTACAGCACTGTCCTATTTTAAAATTGACCAGGAAGGGATAGTTAACTTGGGATAAGGGGTTTGTCTGATTCCAGTTTTCTCAGTTTCAGATTTACTCTCTGATACGCCTGAGCTATTGTTCCTCTGGTCCGCTTACTTAATGGTCAACTTCCTTCCTAAGTTTTGATTTCAGGGCTAGATCTGCTGGAAAACCCATGTTCACTGCTCTCATTACCTATCCTGTATGCCCTGTGCATCTCTATCCTCTGGTTCAAAGAGAAGATACTTTGTATTATGCAATTTTTAAAGTGCTCTTTTGAAACACTTTCTAAAATTGATTTCTTTTAGCTGTGGAGAGAGAGTTAAGACATTTTATATTTAATCCCAAGTAGAAATGCATTCAGAGGGAAAATGGTCTTAGGGGAAAAGGCTAAAATCTCAAAGCCTCCAAGCAAATGATTACCAGGGTGCATCCAAATCACAGAGCTCTTGGGTTTGTTTCAGACCTCCGAGGGAACATAAAAATTATAGGCAACTATGCACATATTTTTGTTGTTCCAGCTTAAATCTACTATGATAATTAGATGTTTTCTATTTGGATCCTGGAATCTAGTATACAATCTGGAGTCATGTGCCTCAAAGTACAGCTAGACTCACCTGGGGTGTTTGTTTACAATTAATATTGGGGGACCCCACCCCTGCTCTACTAAATTGGCCTCTCCTTGGGAATCTGCATGTCTGGTTTATTTCCCAGGTAATTATGATGCAAAGTCTTTTGAGAACCACTGGTCAAGAGAATGGGCCATATGCAGGGATTTTCTAGGAGAGAGAAATGATTTTGAGTGGAAAGGATTGGGATTTAGGAAGGTAATAGAAGTAGGACCAAGAAGCTCAAAGCAGTGAATTCAAAAAGGAGATTTCATAATCAAATTAAAAAAATCCAGTTTTGATTTCCCATATCCTTACAGTTTGACATTGCATTAAATTGATTGTTCAGCAAATGGTTTTGTTTTAAAATCATGCATAAAACATTTTTTTTATTTTGCATAAAGCATTTTTAATAATAAAATGGTCCCCAGCTAGCTCCGGGATCTTGTGGAAATTAGTCAACCTCTCTCAACCTCAGTTTTCTGAGTTCCCTTCTAATCATGTGATTCTGCGTTTTCATCAGGTAAAAGGAGTGGAGAAGACAAAAAATTCCCAATATTATAATTGTAGAAAGAAATAAGAGTAGATGAATAATAAAGACAAATTTCATGGTAGTTTCCTAATGTTTACATATTATGATGACTCCAAGTATGTTGCATATCCCCACACATACCATTCATAGTGACTCATCATCATTTTATTACAGTGTTTATGCTGCATTGGGAGGATTTCAGAGGACTCTCCATACATCAGGAGTGGCTATTAAAAATACCTTTTCACAGCTGGTTTTCCCAAAACACTTATTGAGAAATCAATCTTAGTCTCTTCTTTTTTTGAAGTAACTATTCCTTTGTTGCTAGGATGTTGTGAAAGTGGTAGAGCCCTTTTCTTGCTTCTACAAAGAGGTATTGTATCCTTTAGGATGCTCTGGGCTGTAAGAAACAGAAAATCCAATTCAAAATGGCTTAAACAATAAAGGAATCTGTTTCTCATTACACAGAATCAGCCCTAAGGGTTGGTTAATTTCTTGGCTCATGAAGTACTCAGGTTATTTCTATGGTGTTGCTCACAGCCAGCATCACTGTGCTGTCTAGGTCAGTGTCATAAGATGTTGTGTTGCATCCTTGCGCATTTGTGGTTGTCCAGAGGCAGAAAAAGCATTGTTTTTTCTTTGCTTCTCTTTTTAAGGGCTCTGATGATATTTTTCCCAGAAGTTCTTCAGACTTCCCATCACATCTTACTGGTTTGACACAATCTCCAACAAGGGGAATGGGGCCACCATGATTTTTTACACCAAACAGGACTTCCCTGGGCCATTGGTGGGAGGTCTGGATATCAGTATAAAAGCTCTGAGTAGGCAGTGCCTAATGCTTACTGCAAATAGTCTTGATAAAATAAGATTCAATGGAGAGCATTAGATCTATTGAATGATCTTCATGTGGTGTGCTAACTTGATTAAGACATATGGGACAGATAAGCCAATTTGGGAGGGAAGAGGAATACATCTGAGTATGGGCACACATACACTATAATTCTAAGATTTGTGGGGTGGAAGGTGAGAGAGAAATGAGGAGGGCAAAATCAACTTTAGTCTCATTCCCACTTACTGACTCCTATTGTTCTTTTCATTACCCAGTCATCTAATGTCTGTTTGGATGATCTGTTACTTGTTGTGGCTTTGCAAAAATGCCAAATTCTATATATTGCAGAAATCATAAAATGATTTGGGGCAAATGCTTGGCATACAAGTGAGACCTTATCAAAATATGTAGACTCCATTGTCACAAGTTATCAAGAGTTAAGCATCTAGTGGCTTGGCTGTTTACACCTTTCTGTGACTGGAGTATGAGTACTTCCAGGCATTCCTGCCAATTAAGAAGGATGTATTCACATTTCCTTAATGATCAGAAGGAGAGTGAATTGGGTTCATTTACAAATGCCTGTGGTTATAAAGAAAGTCATTGCTAGGCCTTGGCACCAAGGAGGATAGACCGTGATGGTTAACTAGCATTCTTCGAAGTTCTTAAGAGAGGGTCAAAATAAAAGGAAGTGGGCATGGATACTTGGCATTAACATAT